TATCCTCATATATATTTATATATATATTTTTCTCTATACAAAAGGAGAGGAGAGGAGAGGAGAGGAGAGGAGAGGAGAGGAGAGGAGAGGAGGGAAAGGAGGCGATGGGTGAGGAGAGGAGGTGTGAGGAATGAGGAGGAGCAGACAAGGGGAGGAGGAAGATATCAAACCTTGACTTGCTCCCCCTGGAGCTGCTTCTTCTGCTGTAAACTTGCACTTCTTTCTTCTGCAAGCGCAGAAAGGAACCGTTCCTCCTCTTCCTCCTTCCCCTGCAGCGTCCGCTTCAGCTCCCCCTGCAGCTGGTCGATGCTCCAGCAGTTCCGCTCCAGCTGGGGTTCGGGTGAGCACGAGAACGAGAACAAGAAGGAGGAGGTGGTGGTGGTGGAGGGACGAAAACAGAGAGCAAGTGAAATTGAGGTGGGATAAAGGATTGAGGTGGGAAAATGGTGAGAGAAAAACGGAGGGAGAGTGAGGGAAAGGGAAAGAGGAAGGAGGAAGAGGAAAGGAGGAGAGGGAGGGAGGGAGGGAGGGAGGGAGGGGGAGAGGAGAGAAGAAAGGAGGAGGCAGAAGAAGGATGGAAGGAGGGAGGGAGGATGAAGACAGGAAACGCTTTCTTGCGGTTCTTCTCACTTGTCTTTGTGCTTCGCCCAGGGCCATTTGCAGAGCTCCTTGCCTGACAACCTCAGCCGTTTCCTAACAGAACTCATTTAAACGAGAGAAGGAGGAGGAGAGGAGGAGGAGGAGAAGGATAGGCGGAGGAGGAGGAGTGTTCAAAAGGTACGCTGTTCCGACCGTTTTGTTCATGACTACGAGGAGTTGGATGTGTTCTTGCATAAAATCCCTCAAGACATTGTTCTGCTCGTGCAAACAATCCCTCAACGTCGAATTCTCCCTTCTGTTTGTCACATGTCAGATTGCTCCATCTCCCTACATGGATGAGGAATTGTTTCAGCACCTGAGGTTGTCGACCTCGCCTTGCAGATCTTGTCGATCCTTCTCCATCAACAGCTGATTGTTGATGTCGTGAATTCTGTGAAAGACACCAATAACTTTGCAATCATCCTTTGAACACCACCAGCACCAACAAACCGCAACAACAACAACAACAGCAACAGTATCATCGCACATGCCGCACACGTACAGATTCAGTTGACTTCTTTCCCTTTCTCTCATCACTTGCAGTTGCCATTCAGCCTGAATCAGTGAATCCTGCTCACGTATCAGCACCCACCACCACCACCACCACCGCCGCCGCCGCCTCCTCCACCTCCACCACCTCCACCGCCGCCGCCACACCACCACCGCCGCCGCCGCCTCCTCCTCCTCCTCCTCCTCCTTCTCTACCACTACCACCACCACCACCACCACTGCCTTATCCTCCTCACCCTCTCTTCTTTCTCCCTCGGCCTTTTCTCCTCTACATCACTTCACCTGCAACTTCTCAACTCGCTCTCTCGTCATCATCAACTCGATCTCCAGAGCCGCCTGGTTGACTGCAAGTCGCTTGCGATCTTGCAAGATTTGAAGATGATCCTGAAAAAACATCGTCGATGAGAGAAACGCAGGCGGAGGAAGC